AAAACAGGGAACATTTCCTGCACTTTTCACCCCTTGTACCTGAGGGGAGAAAAGGAGCTGCACAAACTTTCACCCTGACTCATTCCAGGAAAAAATTCCAGGGAAGTCCCAGGAGCTGACAAATCCCAACCAAATATTTGGAAAAATTCACGTCAGTGCCTCAAATCTACCCCAGGGCTCAGAGATCTTTTGACCCAAGAAAAGAAGGGCTGGATGAACTGAGCTGCCAGGGAAAAATGTTTAAAACATTTTGAGTTTTTTCACCTTGAGCACAAGAGTTCAGAGCAAATTACAGATTTGGGATGAGGATTTCAGACGAGTTTCACTCATTTGGAAACCTGGAGCTCTGACGATTTCAGCTTTGCCCCCGGACCAGGAATATCCACTCTGAACCCAGGAAACTTCTCCTGACAAACCCAGAACTCTGTTTGCTCAATTCCCATCCCACATCTCTCAAAATTTAGGGTTTGGAGGTGGATTTTCATTTGCTTTGAAGTGAAATCTCCCTCCCGAGCTCAGCCACGAAATTTAATTCCTCCTCTGTGTCAGCCCCAGCCCTGCACTTTCCCTGCCCGCTCTCCATCCAAGCCAAATTAATTTGGGCAGGTAAAAACCACTTCAAGATTAAGTTTTTTTTTTTTTTTCCCCTCAGCCAGCTCAGCATCAATCAAGAAGACCAGAGTCTTTCAAGGCAGAGCTGCTAGCAAAGAGTTCATTTGTATTTCACAGATTTGTTTCTCCATATGTTCCCTGACACCGCTCTCATTTTTCCATCACCTCAAACGTGGTGTCTGGGTTTGTTTTTTGTTTTTGKTTTTTTTTTTCAAGATAYTGATCTTTGTTATTAYGGTAGGACCAGATGGTTTGTGCCTCTTTATGAAGGTATTTCCTCCTCCTCTGCCTTTGATTCTGGGGAGATCCAAGGAAATAATTTATCAGCTTTCTGCCAGAAGTCTGATAAAATTTTTAAAAGCGTCAAAAACCTCTAGAAGAGCTTCTTGGKAGGGGAAAAAAAAAGTGTGTGGAGGTCAGAAAGGAGCCAGCTCAGCTTCCCAAAGGTGCCTGAATGAGGTTTGGAACACGAAAAAGTTCCTGACCCATGGCAGGGGTGGAACAGAACAATCTTTAAWATCCCTTCCAACCCAATTAATTTTGTGATTCTGTTCCCAAAAACTCAGTTTGGGGATCCTCATTATTGGTGTAGCTGATCCAACCCCAGAAYTGGCGAGGAGGATCTCATCAGGAGGGAAATAATTCTATTTACTGCTGGAAAAAGGGCAATAACAAAGTGACAAAYGGTCAGCTGGCAGAAATTTTGTGTGGTCCAATTATCAGCCCTCACCATGGCCAAACAGATGTTCAAATCACATCTCATTTTTACAGCTGCTCCAGCAGCATTTCAATTCTTAAGGGAAGCTGGAAATAAATGAATATATTAGGATTTAATAGCATCTAGAAATTAGAATGAGAGAAAGCACGAGCAGAGCCACGGGGTTGTCTCCCAACAGGCTGGAGATGGCTCAGTGTGAAAAGTTTATTCTGAATATAAAAAGATTTTTTTTCTTTTTCCAGCTAGTCAGTGTGATTTTTAGCACTCAATCACCCAASTTAAGAATATATATGATATTTATATAGACAGATATATATAAAAATATATATTTATAGAAACGAAAGTTGCATTTCTAAAAAAAAAAGAACTGGGCAGAGAAAAGACAAAATTTTTGCTGTAGCCAGCTTGGAATTCCCTCAGACAGCACAGCAGCAAGAGCCAGGATCCAAGGAAGAGCAGACAGATTACGTAAAAGATGGGATAGCAAAGCAAACATTATCCTGAGACAAATGCCAGGAGATTTGCAACTCAAAACACAGCCCAAGATTTGTAGCAGCAATCCATCAGTTACCAGAAGGAATTCCCTGGCTGGCTCTAAACCCGCTCATTTTCCTGCATGCAATTTCTTGGGATGGCTCAGCAAAAAATAAAGGGAAACCTGAAGAAAATGCCACAAGAACTGCTGGAAATGCAGGTGCAGGGGGAGGGCACTGCCAGCCCACCCAGGAGCTCCTCATCTGTAGAATTCCCTGGAATATTGACCTTGTGAAATCACTAGAGCTCAGAAAAAGGAGAATTCCTTAAAATATTCCCTTGCTGGAGTCACCAAAGGTCAGGAAAAAGGAGAATTCCTTAAAATATTCCCTTGCTGGAGTCACCAGAGCTCAGCAAAATGAGAATTCCCTGGAATATTGACCCTGCTGAAGTCACCAGAGCTCAGAAAAAAGAAAATTCCCTGGAATATTCCCTTTCTGGAATCACCAAAGGTCAGGAAAAGGAGAATTTCCTGGAATATTGACCTTGCTGAAATCACCAGAGCTCAGGAAAAGGAGAATATTCCCTTGCTGGAGTCACCAAAGGTCAGGAAAAAGGAGAATTCCCTGGAATATTCCCTTGCTGAAGTCACCAGAGCTCAGAAAAAGGGGTATTGACTGGAATATTGAACTTGCTGGAGTCACCAGAGCTCAGAAAAAGGAGAATATTCCCTTACTGAAGTCACCAGAGCTCATAAAAAGGAAAATTCCCTGGAATATTGACCTTGTGAAATCACCAGAGCTCCGAATTTGAGTTCCAAGCCCACAGSTATTTGCAATAAGAAAGGTTTTGCACTAATAAGAAAATCCAATTGTGTATGTGTTTGTGTGTGTGTGACATTCAATGTTCTTCCCCAGCAAAAGATTTTCGCTCCTCAGCCGCGCCGATTTCGGGCTCCAGCCCGATTTGCTGTGACTCACAACATACGTCTTGCATTTTTAATTGGAAAGAGAGAGAAAAAAAGAGGCCATTTGAGCTTTCCTTGCCTCGTCCCTTCTGCATTAGTGATGCTGGATTCATCCTCTGCAAGGAAAGCAGCCCCGTGGCTATGCAGCTGTGCCTAAGTGCACAAATTTTTTCTGCCTGATTTTTTTCTGCATGGCAAGAAATGCAATTATTGCAGCCAGGAATAYTCAAAATAAGCGTGGCTGGAAGTTACCAGAATATTTTGCCTCTCAGRAGATGTCAGTCCTGGCATCAGATGGTACCCTCGAGATGAAATTCAAACCTGTTCTTTGCAACACCTTCCTTTGCACACCCCCGCAGTCGGCGGCTCTTGGATGACACCATTGAGGCAACACAGAGAAAGTGTCAAAAATAAAATCAAATCTCAGATCTTCAGCTCAAGATTCTCCCAGTCTGAGTGCAAATCTCAGATCTTGAGCTCAAGATTCTCCCAGTCTGAGTGCAAATCTCAGCCTTGAGCTCAAGATTCCTTCAATCTGAACCTAAATCTCAACATCTGAGCTCAAGATTTCCCCAGTGAGTCCAAATCTCAAATTTGAGCTCCAAGTTGCCCCAATCTGAATCCAAATCTCAACTTTGAGCTCGAAGTTGCCCCAGTCTGAGTGCAAATCTCAGCCTTGAGCTCAAGACTTCTCCAATCTGAAGCCAAATCTCAACATTTCAGCTCAAAATTGTCCCAATCTGAGTCCAAATCTCAACTTTGAGCTCCAAGTTGCCCCAATCTGCGTCCAAATCTCAATATTTGAGCTTAAAGTTGCCCCAATCTGAGCCCAAATCTCAGCACCTGACCTCACGATTCCCCCAGTGAGTCCAAATCTCAACATTTGAGCTCAAGATTCTTCCAATCTGCACCCAAATCTCAACATTTGAGATTAAGATTCCCCCACTCTGAACCCAAATCTCAACATTGGAGCTCAAAGTTGCCCCAGAGTCCAAATCTCAGCTCTTGAGTTCAAGATTTCCCCAGTGAGTGCAAATCTCAACTCTGAGCTCAAAGTTGCCCCAATCTGACTGCAAATCTCAAATTTGAGCTCAAGGTTCCCCCTGATTGAGTTTTCACAGGTTTTGGGGAGGTGGTGGAGTCCTGGAGGTGTCCAAGGAAGGATTGGGCTGGTAATAGAGTGGGAACTCGATGCTCTCAGAGATTTTTCCAATTTTGGTGATTCTGGGATTGTTGTGAACTGCCAAGACCGAGTTATTCCCAACAGAACTCAGCTCAGCTCAGTTTTTCCCAGTAACACAAACCTGCTTTGGGAGAACCCCAGATTTTCCACAACAAACCCCCTTTCACAACATTCCCCAGATATCTCTGAAACTCCAGAGATCCAGACTGATTCCTGTGCAGGAATTTTGTGCAAGGCAGTGCACAGAGCAATCAATTATTTAATTAATTAAAAWGTCACAGGCACTTTTGATTCCCCTCTGAAAACAAACCCACTCCAAACAAAGAACAAATATCAWTTTTTCCCTCCCCATCAGCCTCATCCCATCCCAAACAGGGGTTACCTGAGGTAATATCCACATTTTTCCTCATTTAGATTGGCACAGCCTGTAGAGAAACGTTTCTTTTGCTCAGGTTGCACTTCTGACATGCAGCTCCGTTGTTTTGGCCTTGAAAATAATAAAATGTGTTCATTGATTTAATTTTTTTTTTTAGCTTATTTGTCAAATTAGGTTACAGTTGGCAGAGAGGGCAAAGAACCGGCAGAATTATGACAGATGTGACATTCTTAGGACTGAAAAAATAAAAGTATTTATTTGAGTAAAGCTGTAAAAGATCAAACATGCTGAGAGCAAAGCAGCTGAGCCACCCAGCGGGTCCGACCACGCCAGGAACCCGAGGAGAGCTCTCAAAAGCGGCTTTTTCACACCACTCCAGGCCTCGGTGCCAAGAGCAACGCCCAGAACGTGGAGAAAAAAACCCCGGGGAAGAGCAGGAGCAAATCCCGATCCGCTCTGCTGCTGCCACCTGCAGGGAAACGCTGCGGGAGGAGAGAGCGGCACAAAAATCCCCTCCCCTGCCTGCAGAAACCACCAAAGCWGCCCAAACCACCTCCTTTTCCCTTTCCCGATATTCTTCCTCYTCTTCCAGTATCCATTTCCTCGCTATTTCAATTAATCTTAATTTAAAAATAAAGATAAACACAGCAACACGGTGGAGGAAATAGCTGAGATGTTTTTCAGGACCAACACGGTGGAGGAAACAGCTGAGATGTTTTCCCAAGTGCAGATTTCCTAAAAAATTACCTTTCTTCCTCCTCCTGTGGAATAATTTTGCYAGTTTTCTTCCCACTGGTTGTCTCCTCCTGCTTGGCCTGGCCTACAGCTGCGTCAYTTAACTGGAAAAGGAAGGAAAAGAGGATTAAGATGTAATAAAACTTTTCCAATAAAACTTTTCCCGGGAAGTTCTGCTTATATAATTACATAAAAATCATATTTTCCTCCACTTGAAAAACCTCTGYATAAACACAACACTTGTGTGCACATGAAGGTGACCACAAACCCAAATCCAATGGGATGGGATTAAAACCATTTAAATTATGGGGATTAAAACCACTTAAATGACAAGAATTAAGATGTGAGTTTACTTTGGCGTTGCCTGCTGGCTGCTCAGCTCCCGTGGATTCCCCTTTAGCATCCTCTGGAGAGTCTGATTTCCTCGAGGAGCAGCTCGTTGTTGCTTTGGGAAGTTCTTTGCTTGGTGCCACCACAGATGCCAGGCTCTCACCCCCCATGCCCTGACCACGGGGAAGTTCAGACGAGGGCACAGATTTTTCCAGGCAATTCTTCACCAGGCTCTCCCGACCTTTAGGCATCGCTTCTTGTGAGGATTCTTTGGAATAGCAGCTGCCAGCAGATGAAGAATATCCCAAGCAATCATCTATCATGGCTTCCAAAGTTTCTCTTTCCACCTCTCCCAGGTAATTGTCCTCCAGAGCCTCATCGGAGCAGGCGGCGGCGAACGGGCTCAGGCTCAGGAGCTCCTGAAGATCCAAGTCCAGCTCCTGCTGCAGYTGGGCCCCATCCAGAGCAGCATTTCCACTCAAAAATCCACCATCACACCCAGAACTGACTGAAGAATGCTCTTGGGGTTCTTTTGGCTCCTCTGTGACCTCTGAAGTCACTTCACTGCCTGACATCCCCTCAGTGCAGCTGCTGCTCTCGGCCTTCTCGCTCTCATTTTGGCTCAAACGGCTCTCACCGGCGACATGGTGCTGCTGCTGCTGCTGCTGCTGCTGCTCAGCTTCCAGGGAATCATCTGCCAAGATTTCCTGGATCTCCTCCTCGGTGTAATCAAAGGGAGAATTCCCTTTGTCGCTGCCTGACAGCTCCAGCAGGGAATCGTCCAGCTCGCTGTCGTCGAAACACCTGCTGATATCCAGGGAAATGGCCACATCATCGTAGCCTGGTCCTGAAAAACCAGCAGTGAGCTCATCCTGGCCACTCTCATCCAGGAAAAGAGAGCAGCCAGAACCTGGGGAAGGGAACAGAGGATTCCCTGCAGGATCTGGAGTGCTGCAGCCGTGGATCAGCACGCAAGCTTTCTTAGCAGACTGCAAGGCCTGAACCTGTATGGTGGAATCTGACAGCCTCTTGGCCCTGGGAATTGTGTCCTGTTTGAATTCCTGGCACAGGCAGAGCCCGGGGGGATGAGGGGAACTGTCCCCCATGGTGTTGGGATTTCCTGGAGCTCGGTTTCCTGCTCTAGAGGCCTGAGCTCAGGCTCATCTGCTGCTGCTGCCCTCGGATCAACCCTTCTGGAGGAGGAATCGG